CATTATATAGGCTACACTAACGTGACGTTTAGGCAGTTCGTTTAACTATTATACATGATGTATGTTTTTTGGGGGGTGGTTAAAGAAAGTATTCCAAAACGTGACATTAATTTCTTGACGACCTAATAAATTCCTGAAAATTATAATTCAACTTTACTTTGAATTCCTAGCATCTGAGACAAGAGATTAGATATTGCAATGTAAAAGAATTTGAAATATTAAATCAAAAGCCACAAAACTTTGAAAAATTACATTTAAAGAGAAGATTTATTTTTGAAAACTGAAGTACTGTAGGTTAGCACTCATAATATTACAGTATAAATCATTTTTTCATCACAGTTATTCCTTGCAAAATATTTATGAAATAGGTTTCAAGTTTTAGCAATGTCAAAAAGCTTGTAAAAAAATCTCATTTCAGATAATTAAAAAATAAAGATTCACTTTTTCATCAAAAATTTGTATGCAGAGCTGATGGTCAAATTACATTGAAGAATATGCTGAAAACCACAGTCAACTATACCATAAACATTTTGAGCTAAAATTAAAATATAAACTACAGTATTATAACAAACACTCATAGATCTGAAAATACCAACATGTTTAAAACTAGGTCTTGGCTACATTAAATTGAATATTTACTTTTTTGCAACCACTTTGCATCCATTTTTGTGTTTTTAGATAATAGTAATTATGTCTTTCTAAAGTCTGTAATTCATAACCCAATGTAAATGTTCTATATGCAATTGTATCAAACATGAGAAGTTTACGTAAAGTACCAGTCATGCTTAAAGATTATTTTAAAAGAAATGTGTGGGTAGTCCAGTTGTAGTGCTTGTTTCAAATTCTTAGTTCGATGTCATGAGATCCATTGTAAAGAAGAATTAAGTATACAGGTAATTTAGGTGTAAAAGCATTTCAGAAACCTTTCTTTAATAGAGTTCATTAAAGCACAGAAAGTATTTGTATACAGCATCAGTTTTATGTTTTAAATTTTGTTATGAATCCATAATAATCACTTGATGAAAAGTTAGCTGCTCAATTAGAATATAGTTTCATTAATACCAGCACAGCAGTCTTTTGTTTTTGTAATGATAAAAGTAGTTTTTTTTCCTAAGATTTTGGTTTGTATTCAGGAAGCAGGGGAAACATTGGTGATCAATATTCCTAATGTCAATTATAAAAATATGGTTAGACCGTAGTTTTTTCATTTTTTCATTCCTTTTAATTTGTATGTTATGTATTTCCTATTATAAATATGTGAAATAGAATTTCAGATTGTTTCATCTTCCATAACTTAACTACCCAACTGCAACACCACAAAACATAAGTGTATGCATCATTTTCACATTTCACAACAATTTCAGCCAATAGACATGGTCTCAGTGTACCACCTTATTGTTATGGATGGCCCCTGACTTCTTCAAGGAACCACAGGATCATGATGATATGTTGGTTGTTCCACCTGATGGCTGCTCTTCATGTGCACCTTGCCACTCTCCCTGATCTCAGTAGATCTTGATCATCACCTGCCACTGTCTGGGCTTGGAAATATAATGGGTTAATCAAGGCCAGTTAGGTTCAAGACGTCCTGGCTGACTCTTTCTTCTTTGATTCATCTTTGGTGCTCTTTACTCCTGTATGTAGGAGGTAACAAACAGGTTGAGCTGTAGCAGCTGGGGTTTCTACTTGTCAATTATCAACCTCTTGATCTGGATCAGTTGAGAACACAGAAATAGTTTACAATGGCTACTAATGTTCTTGGTCCAGGAAATCGCTTCTCCTAATCATATGCACCTTTTAGTTCTCCCTCATAAGTTCTATGTGATCTTATAAAGTGCCTTTTCATTATCCTAGCATACAGACTTTACAGCAATGAGGAAGTTAACTGGAAAAAGAAGCACATTCAAAATTAACTGTCCAATACCACTTCCTAGTTTATTGCACCTTAAGTCCTTGGTATTTAGGTACAATAATTTAAAATAGAAAGTTGTGTATATCAACAGTAAACTGAGAGTTTAGGAAATATTAAGCAGAGGATAAACTGAACTCAAAATGCAAAGGAGGGCAAAGAAACATAAGTGAATAAATAAAAATAAAATCTTTATTCATACAAGAATGTATAGTCTTAACTAAATTGGCCAGCTCCAATTTTTTGTTATTGTAACATCTTGGGTAGCTGAGGTAAGTCAAAAGTTTGTCTGCAGGAGTTGAAGATTGGTGCAAGATACTTTAAACTTAGAAAAGGTACTAGTGTGGTATCTTACAGAAATATATTATTACTAATTATAGAAAGGAAAATACCAGCTATGCAACCACCATGCTATAAAGAAGTTGATCTAATTATCTGGGAACATTACCATTGTGAAATATAATCAACAAAACAAAAGCACTCATAAGTTCAGACAAAAGTCAAAATGAATAAAAACTGACTGTATATTTTTCAGGTTATAGAAATTTAAGTCTTCATCTTGACTTTAAATTAAATTTGTGTACTTTTTTAAACATTGTGTCAGTTTTATTTGATGACTTTATACATGAAATTAGCACAAAGTGATCTGTGGTCATGCAGAGCCAATGGGTGAGCTACCTTTATTAACTTGCTGTTCTGCAACCCAAGAGTTGGACCTAACACTCCTTCAAGTGTAAGGATCTTGGCATCAGTGTACTCCACTGACATACAGGGCAATTCAGTCTAGAGCAGGCTAAGAGTTCATAGGAAAAAAGTTTATGTCAAAACCATGGAAAACTGCCAGAGGCAAAGTAGATCTCTCCTCAGTGTTTTAGGTTGCAGCCAAAGAGGATGTGAACTATTTCATGTGGTGTTTCAAACCTAGAATGACTAGATTTGGGAGCAAGGGAGGCAATTAGAAATAACCACAGCCCAATGTTAAGTGTGATGAACTGAGATTCCATGATTTGTATTTGCAATCTATCGCCACCAAAAAAAAACAATCCAAGCTATGCACTCTGGGCTGTGGGTGCATCATAAGTGTGATGATAAAATCGCACTTCATTTATAGTAGCCTATGAGCTGGCAGTAGATAGTGTTGAATAGGTCCTGCTTTCTCATCTATTACTTCAAAATTTAAAATGACTAGCACTGATAGCCCTCAAGTAATTTTGTGTGAAATTTCACAAAACAAACAAACATCAATGCAATCATGTGCTTCACCCCACTGGGAAACTGATCAGTCCATTGGACTAAATTCAAGGCTTGAATAAGGGTTCCCTCCAAGAATGTGGCTGCCTTCTAGAGCTGAGCAATTATTGGACTGTGATCACTTTGG